TTGTGTGTATGTATTTTTGACTGGCATTTACGTGCAGGTGTGTATTGATCTGACTTACAGGCAATGTGGTTGTGCACATTTTCCTGTAGAGTAAATTGTTTCAGAAAAGCAATGCTTCTTGTATTTAAAGACTGAGGTAGAACCTGTATTTACATCCTGGCATATATATAGGTGTTGCCTGTACATAAAGCCTGTGTCATTTGGGATTGTGCTATAATAAAGAAGTCACAGCTTTTCTTTGCTGCTTTTAGCAACATGAATAACCTAAGTAGTAAATGAATAACCAGAGCAGATAGTTTTTGACACAATAGGGATCAAGGTAGAAGAGATCATCTTTGTCCAGTGCTAGAAGTGGACAGAAGTGAAGTGTGAACAGCATGCTGTAGAGGTGCTAAGTTGTTGTTGGCCACTAGAAAACCAGGACTGATCATTTAAAGTAAGCTGAGTCCAGAGGAGGCCTGTGGAACTCAGAAAAATAAGTTGTGGGATGTCACCATCTGCTGCTCCTTATGGAGCCCAGTTTCCAGTGAACCCAGCCAATGGCTATATAATAAGCCATAGCTGTGCACACACAGTGTCTGTATATGCATCAGTTTGCACCTGGATGGTGACATTATGCTGGTGTCAGTACTCGCCATGAGTGCTGATAGATGTAAATGAAGGTAAACTTTGTGTGCTATAAAGAATTCTTTTTTTAAAAAGTTTTCATAATTATGTGTGTCTTCTCCCCCTCGTCAAATCAGAACCCAATAGTCAAAGGATACTAAAGTCTTGTCTGCCTCATCTTCCATGAGGTCATAGTAATGTTCAGAATGACAGGCATTTTCAACATCATGGAATTTTTGAGATGGATTGCTGAGATGGCAAGCTCACAACATGCCAAATGCACGTATGCTTTAAGAATCTGTCTCTTGAAAACAGAGAACTCACCAGGTTAAGTATAGAAAAGAGTAGGAGTCCAGCAGCACCTTAAAGACTAACAACAAGTGTGTCATTGAGACCAGGGCTCAATGTGTGAAGATTAGGTCCTTCAGTCTGTGATGGAAGAACTCTGTGTGGGACTTCCTGTGCCAGTTAGAAATCTCTGAACATGAGCTAAAGTTAGGGTTGCCTGGTCCCTTTCGCCTGCTGGCAGGGGGATGGGGGGGTGTTCTGAGAGTGGTGTCACCCCCCATCCCCCCGAAACTGTGACATTGAATGTGACGTGCCTGCATCACCCAGAAGTGATGTCGGGGGCGCTGCTCTGGATTTTGGGCAAAACTCTATGGTAAAATTGACATCAAACCATAGAGTTTTGCTCAAAATCCAGAGCATCACCCCTGACGTCACTTCCGGTGACACAGACACGTCGTGTGCGACATCGCTGTTTGGGGGATTCCCGCCTGCCAGCGGTGCGCATGAGCTTACAAAATTGGGGATTCCCCTGCTCCCACTGGGCAAATGGCAACCCTAGATAAAGTATGTGCCCATCAAATTCTAATGTAGACAGTTTTGCAAGGAGGGACCTAGTGGCTACAGCTCAGCACAGGTAATGATTTCCATTCAGGAATGTATTCAGCATTTCTTTCAATAGTGTTTTAAGAGGATACACTAGGTTTGTTCACTAATTCATGACCACAGCTCTCTTTTTTGGTAGGCACCTCTGGATGTATGGGGGTGTGTGTCTCTTGTACCTGTTATTGGTCCTACGGCAGAGTGGACAGCCTGCCTCATGCAGCACATTGTGGTATACCATTCAATGACAGCAAATCAAACATTATTTAGTTGAATATATTTTAGCCATAATAGGGTTTGCTATTAATTAGACAATGCTCTTTCTTTCTTTCTTTCTTTCTTTCTTTCTTTCTTTCTTTCTTTCTTTCTTTCTTTCTTTCTTTCTTTCTTCCCTTTTAGCTTGAATTTAGTGCAATCCAGTGATAGATTTGAGGTGATACAAAAATGAACAAATGCCAAAACT